TTGAGGAAAAGATCATTTTCCACTGAGAATACATCCCATTCCGCGATGTTGAACATTCCGGAATCAGTTCCGGTCCCGGAATCAATTCCACCGATTCCGGAACTAAATTCAACCACCCAACAATCCGATTCCGGCATCATTTACAACAGATCCTATCGATTCCGGAATTGCTCAGCCTTGACATCACTCTCATCTGCTGACGCTTATAACTGCATCTAATTCCGGGTGTCCAACGGATCCAGAATCGCAAGGATTTGGAAGGGATTCCGCGGAATTCCTAGTCATTCCGAAATCGCTCAACTTTGGTATCACTGTTATCGACTGAAGCTTATCACTGGATGTAACTCCGGGAAGGAATTCCGAATGACGTACGGAGCCGGAATCGCAAGGATTTGTAAGGAATTCCACGGAATTCCTAGTGATTCCGGAATCGCTCAGCCTTGGTATCACTCTCGTCGGTTGTGGCTTATAACTATAGGGTATGTGTGGGTGTGTGGGGGGCGGGTGTGGGTGTGAGTGTGGTTGTGAGTTTGGATGTGGATATCTTCTCATCACACACACACACCCATTCACCCGCAGCGCATACCCACACCCATTCAGCCACAGCGCATACCCATACCCACACTCACACCCACTCCCACACCCACTCTCTCACCCACACCCACACTCACTCATACCCACACCCACACCCTCATTACATCGATAAAGATTGATAGAATAGAAAGACAAGTTGTAATTCCGGAATTGAACGGAATTCCTACTAATTCCGACCGGTTCCGGATCCGCTCAAATGCGGAATTCCTAAGCGGAATCGGATGGTCATTACATCGATAAAGATTGATAGAATAAAAAGACAAGTTGTAATTCTGGAATTGGACGGAATTCCGACCGATTCCGGATCCGCTCGAATGCAGAATTCCTAAGCGGAATCGGATGGTCATTACATCGATAGAGATTGATGGAATAAAAACACAAGTTGTAATTCCGGAATTAAACGGAATTCCTAGGAATTGTTGCGGACTCAGTTTGTATTCAATTCCGAAATCGCTGGAATCGATTCCGGGATCGGAACTGGTTCCGCAATGTTCAACTTTGCGGAATAGGATGACTGCTCAAATTAAATGTTAGCATAAATACTTAATATTAAGAAATGAAGTGGTGATCACTAAACTGTTTTTTATTAATATTAAGTGTTAAGTAAGAAGTTTAAACTTAGTTTAATGTTAAGCTAAAAGAACTTCGCCTAAGTTCTAGAACCCTTTCAGTCACATTATCTCTTATAAAAATATCTATTATTCCCTTATTTTACAAAGTAATACTAAAGGATCACGCCTAGTTCTCAGCTCGTTCGTGAGCTGCTGATCTTCTTGTCTATTCGCAAAAACGATAATAGAACAGAATTCGGAATCACATTATTCATCAGGACAACGACCTCTGATATGAACAGATATCGTCTAAGTAGCTCAAACTAAATACAAATTAATATATTCGTAGTTACCTTTAAATAATGTCCAAGGACGATTGGAGTGCAAAAAAAACGAGTGAGTGCACTAGCTGTGACTCTAAATGAATGCAAAAATTAAAAATAATGTGAAGAAAAATACGTTTATCATTCTCTTTTATAATACTGATAACTGATGCATAGATTGATTACTCTTTTCACCTTAGTAAAAAAAAAAAAAGTAATCAGTCAGATAGAACAGCCCGTAGGCAACGTTTTTTTTCGTCGTATACATGAAAGGCAATCGTTAATTGATGTATACAGAGAGAAAAATAAAAATACACCGGCCAGTTCTCTTACACTAATGAAACGTGTGCAGGTAATTAGATATGAGAGCATGTATACATACGATTTTCGTTTTTTGTCTTATATGTAATCACTGTTTGTTGAGATTCTCTAACGTATGAAGAGAGGACCAACGATACATGTGCAGATTACCTTGAGAGTGAAGATTAGAGGTTTGAGGATGTTTAAATTTAACATGGCAAACAATTTTCTTTATCTATAATAATAATAATAATGAATTGCTTCTTTCAATATTATATTAATTTTTTCTTGCTTTTGAAATTCTTATCATTGATAAGAAACATAAAAACAACAAAAATAAGAAAATTAAGAAAAAAGCTGGTTAATGTAGCCTCTGTGGGGCTGAACTGTGGCACTCACACATATTCTCTCGCCTCATTAAACTAATGCAAAATACATAAAGTGAAAAAACTCTCATAGACTATAATTGTTTTGCAGGATAATCGATCATCGTAGTAAGGATCTATCTAATTTCTGTATTCCGAATAGAAATATTTTTTATTTTTTCTACGAGCACCCTATTTTTTGTTTGCAGTTTCACTATTCGCTCATTATTTTTCATTATTTTTTAAATTCATTTTTCTTAATTTAACATTCTTATTAAAGTAATCATTGAATTAATTGACAAATAAGTCTGTTTTACATATCCATGATATCCACAGCAGATATTACGCACTATTATATATATTAATTATGTATTGAAATATAGTTTTTTATCTTGAAATCTTCATGTAATTTTGTATATGTATGGAAAAAATAAGAATACATGTAGCAAAATATCTTTTTTATCCGTAATCAATACATATTTATACAGGAAATTTTCGGTCTTTCAAACGGATATTTTCAACTTGTCAGCTATTGATGGAATTAATAGTACAATATAAAAAGTATGGCGAAAACAACATTCACAAGAAAACGAAAACGAATATGTCCATGACGTATAACCAAAAGAAAAATTTGATGAAACATCATGAGACATATGTATTGGGTTGGCAACAAAGTTTTTGCGTTTTTTAAAAATTTCATTCTATTTTTCCACTACAAAAATACAATTAAGTTTCAATAATGTACGCTCCATTACTGTCTATGACTTTTTGCCAACGTTCTGGAAGAGAAAGGATTCCGCGTTTGTAGAATTCCTGGAACTTTTGGCTGAAGAAGTTGCCGAGGTCCATTTTGAGGTTGTGCTCGTTGTCGAATTTGTTTTCATGCAAATGATCGCCAAGAGAACGGAACAAATGGTAGTCAGAAGGAGTTAAGTCTGGAGAATACAGTGGATGTGGAACCACAGTCCATGCAAACTTCAATACTTTTTCACGCGTTGACTTTGCAATGTGAGATCTGACATTGTCATGTAAAAGATAGACCTTATCCTGCTTTCCCTGAAGTTTTGTTGCAACTTGGTCCAATTGTTGGAAGTTGAGATCAGCAGTAATAGTACTACCAGTTGGAAGAAGTTTCCAATGAATTACACCTCTTATGCCTCACCAAACGCTCAATATAATCATCATTGGAGGAAGTTCATATGTTGGCGTTGGTATACCTCTTTCTCCAACTCCCAGCCATTGTCGCTTGCGCGCGTGGTTGGCATGCATTATCTACTTTTCATCGCTGGTAATAAGATCGCGAAGCCATTCTTAATTGCGATGCGAAGTCAGTAATTCCATACATGCATCAATCCTGTGCTGGAGCGGAAGTGGTGATAATTCATGGGGTATTCAAACTCCATATATTCCACGTCTTGCCTAATTCGCTCAGATACTTTTCTACCGAAGTATGAGAGCATCCAAGCCGCTCTGCTAGGTGGCGTGTAGTTAATCTCGGATATTCTTCAATAAGCTGCTTTAATAAGTCAATGTTCACTTTCACTGACCTTCCCGAACGAGGTGAATCGTCAAGTTCGAAGTTTTCGTTCTTAAATCTATTGAACTAATGTTGTGCTGTACGAATGGAGAGTACATCATTGCCCATTGTCCTGCATATGTTGCTTTCTGCTTCCGTTGCTGCACGGCCCAATGTGAATTAATGAAGTAAAAGCACTCGGAGCTTTCTACTAGAAATCTCTATCTCTAATTCGAAACCAGCTTCCTTACTCATAGTTTTGTTGTTGTTCGCAACACATCATCCTCCTATATATATATATATATATATATACTCTAAATATGGAAACTTCTAGAAGCTTCACGAATACTTTAGAGTATTAAAAAAAACGCAAAAACTTTGTTGCCAACCTAATAATATCATGAGAATATTAATACCGTATAATGCTTAATTTCAAGATTATATATACAATATCATATAATATCAATAACATAAATATTGATATCACAAGACATATATATATAAAATCATGAAATTATTAATATCATAATATATATAATCTAATAATAATTGTAATAATCTATAACATCATACTAAATTTGAGATATATGTAATTAATAAAACCTAAAATAATTTAAACAATGTGTAACTATTATCATTATGCCATAATACCATAATATAATCATAAACACAATGTAAAAACTAATCAGATAATTTTTTTAATTACGAAAATAATTCATTACCGATATCAAGATTACCAGAATTCAAATAAATAAAATTATTCAAGTTTTATGTTCTACTTATTATAATAATATGTATTTAAATATAGGTTTTTATCTTGAGATTTTCGTGTAATTTTGCATATGTATTACAATTATTGTTACTAGATTATATATATTATAATATTAATATTTTCATAACTTTATATATATAGTGGTGGTCAAAATTATTCATACAGGCAACAAATAGTGATTCGACTCTAATATATCTGCTCCAGTTCAACTTATTGAGCTAAGATTTTCAGCAAAACGTAGCCAGGTATTGCCACTTGCTACACTAAAAGTATCAATCAAATTGAACGTATTTTGATGGTGCAACGATCAAGAATATTAAAATTGTAGAGTTATAATTTAGTCCAAAATTATTCATACAATTAATTTTTCATCAAAAGAACAACTTTAACTCTAGTGATAAATAATAAATTGAATTAATTTCATATACAAACTTCTTAATTCGACTCCACTATTTCAGATGAACATAACCAAGAATAACTTCATCGTTTTTATTCTAATATCAAAAAATAAAAATAAAAATAAAAACATGTACAGACAAAACATTTTCTCTTATGTCATTTTTGAATGATGGAATAGTATTAATATCGAGTTGAAAATCGTCCTTGATTTAGACATTCTTGTAAACGATTTTCAACTGAATCAATTAATTTTTCAGTTATATCGCTTCCAATCTGATTCCACTCTTCAACCAAAAGTTCTTTTAATTCGTGTGCATTTTTTGGTGGTGGAATACGTTGTCGAATACGTCGATCGAGTATAATCCATAAATGTTCTCTAGAACTTAAATCAGAACTTTGTGACAGCTAGTTTAAACGTTTAAGATATTTTTTATCCAACCATTTTGTTACAACAGATAATCGATGTTTAGGATCGTTATCTTGTTGAAATATAAAGTTTGACCCTAAATCGATTTCCTTGATCCACTGAAATAAATTCTCTTCTAGAATATCTTTATATCTTTCAACTGTTAAAATTTCATCAATCAGCACCAGGTTAGCCACATCTTGTCTACTAAAATATCCTCATACTTTGACATTACCACCATGATATTTTATCATTGATACTATGCAGTTCGAACTAAATTCTTAGCTGACCTTTCTCCACACTATAACCTTAGCATCAGAGTCAAATAAATTGAACTTTAATTCATCTGATCATATAATCTTTCTCCAAAACCGATCATCTTTCTCGATATGTCTGCCTGCGTAAACCAAGCGTTTTCGTTTGTTAAGCTCATTAATCAATGGTTTTTTTCTCGTGCTACCCGCCCACAGTATCCAATTTCATGCATCCGATATTTAATCGTTGTCGTAGAAATTTCAACAACTAATGAATTCTACAACTCTACTCTCATTGCAACAGACAATTTTTTTCGACCAGAGAGCAGTGTTCTTTGTATAAAATCGTCTATTCTTTTCGTTGTTATTTTTTTTCTTCCATGACCTGGAAAAGTTTTTACCGTTTTGTATAATTTGTATCTCTTCACAATCGATTGAACTGTTGCTCGCGAAATTGTCATGTATTTTGCAATATCACCTAATGAATCTCCATCTAAATAGCGATTGACTATCAATTTTCGAAAATCTTCTGAATATTCTTTGGATTTAGGTGTTATGCTT